ACAGTTTCATCAATATATTAAATTTCCATTCATATCCTCGTCAATGTAACTCATTCACTTTAAAACAATTTTTTTTTGCCGCGCAACACTCGTTTGTCGTCGATAGTATCGATGGCCAAACTGATTTCTTCGAAACGGTTATTGGCTCTTTTTGCTCTCTTCAAATCGGTTAAAGCTCTCTTGTTATATATACAAAATTCAATAAAAACTGAGTAATTCATAATAGCTTATCTTGTAGAAAATTGATAAAATTATGTGTGAAGGTATGGAATTCCTAGTAATATAAAATCGACAAATATGGTTTCCAATTCTTGACGGACAATGATTAACCTTAGACCAAGAGGGATTTTAGCGCAGTTTAGATGCACGATATCGTTGGTTTTTTGTTCAAAGGAAAAATGACATTGATCTACAAAAAGAATGTTAAATCAGTCATATTTTCCGCCATTTACGTCAAGTCGTTGAACTGTTTAAATAGAGGAGGCTTAAGTGGGCTAAGTTTGTGTTTTTTATCGGTATATTTCGGTATATTTCTGCGGGTCGGACCGTATATTTTATCGATAGGTCACACTGGTCGTGCGTGCGAGCGCGATAAGTGAAAAACAATTTTCTCTGCTTTGTTGTTTGTTGTAAGAATAATAATTAATATCAAAATAAGTGCGCTGTTATTTTGCGTGCGTACATATATGGAGTCAATGCGCCATTGTTAGTAGGCAGCGCTGCCCAGCGAAAGTAAGAAAGAATGATATGTATGATATGATGCGCAGCTTGCTACGCGCTCCGTTCGTTGTCGTTTTCGGTTTGTGAGCTCACTTTAGCTGGGGCAATAAATAAGATTTGTAGATGTACATACATATTATATGCACATACGTACGATGAGTTTACACACGTAGCTGTGTACTTAAAGTGAAGGTGATTTATCAAATTGCAAAAGTCGGTTCGCGTGTGTGCAATGCTGGAAAATTATTACGGCCTAAGTTCATCTAAAAACGATCTCTAACCTATTGAACACATACATAAGGATACATATAGGGGCACGTACATACGCGCTGGCGCACACACAGCCACAAGTGAGTTGCTGTTGGTGTGTTTGTGTATGATGACCCAACAGCAGCTCAGCAAAACAATATGGCTGCCACCGCCACTTGTTAGTTATAACAACAGACGCGAATTGAAAGAAAACTCGTCGCTGTTTATCAAATTTCCATTAATTCACCCGTCGCCAGGGCCGTAAAGCCGCCTTTCGCTAAAATCGAATTAAAACGATGTACGTACTGCAGTTCAAGAGTTCACTACTTAAACACAGAGGCACAGGCGCACACACACCCGCGCACCTAAATGTATACTCACACGCGCACACACAGACGAAAATTTCACACAAAATGCGTTTGCGGCGATGATCGCACTCGCACCCCCACAAACACGTCTAGTGTGTGTTTGTATGTATACACATTTATTCAATTAAATATTTGCGTTTAATTATGAAAGGAGTGAAACTGCAGGGTTTGATTTAATTTTGTATATACACATTGAGATCAGTGCGATAAGAGTGTGCCCCGCTGCGATAATTCCCCCTCCGTAAGCAGTTAATTGAACAATCAGCTGTTTGCGATGATGAGAACATCAAATAAGTAGATATTGCACTTGTAAATAGATCTGTACTTTATCCTGCCCTATGCCCTCTGAGGATATTTCATAAGGGCAATATATAATTGCATATACATATGTACATGTATATGCGTTTTGTGCCTGTCCATTCTGACCCATTAGTATTTTATTAGTACTTATTTTTTCGGCCAAAACTTGTTTTACCCCGCCATCCCCATCCACTCATCGGCATCGGTCGTCGTCATTCGTTCGAGTGTTTCGTGAAAACTAGTCAGCAAAAAAAAAAGAAGAAAAAAAGAGTACAACAACAACGAAATAACAGAGCGCCAGAGCGCAGACGTTAACGGAAGTGTGAGAGTGAGAGAGGGCGCGGCGGGGGCAGACAAGGAGGAGCGAAAGAGATGACTGTATTGAAATGAAAACAATGGAACTGCAAGGAGATCGTTGCATGTTCGTGGTCGTCCCTCCCTCTTCTCCACCCCCTCCTAATGTGTGTCTATGTGTTTGTGTGTGTTTAGGTGCGAGTGAAAATAAATATAGCGAAATCTTATTACAAAATTACAAAAATATGCCATAAAATCAATAATAATAAAGGAAAACTCGACAAACAGCTGCAAAAAACAGACAAACAGCCGCCAGAAGCCAGAAGTCAGAATCCAGAACTAGATCAATCCCAATTAAGTCATCTTCGTGCAGTGAGTGCTCTGGAATAATTCCGAACAGTGCAGTGCAAGTTTTTTGCAAAACATTTACAAAACGCAGTTCCACCCCCGATTCTGGGTAGGAGGAGGAGGAGGATCACCACCACCATCATTGGATGCCAGACCATCGACCGTCGCTGATTGCAAGCTGAATTCTCAACCCACCAGCAGCCAGCGCAGAAAACAACCCTATGGATGACCCATCAATCAAGAAACGGTGAGCTAAAGCCCTGAAATGAATGCCCAGAATGGTCCTCCCAGATCCAGATCCAGAACCAGATCCAGATGCTGTGTTCTGAGGAAGACTCAAGCGCCGGAGGAATCCACATATTACTCATCGGCGTAGTTTGAATTGTGAAAAACGACGATAAATCTTTATCTCCGTAATGTAATATACGATGTATTTTCCTTCCACTACGTACTATTCACTCTCGTATCCAAAGTATGACATATGCTCTGGCCTACACTCGCCTCTCGTTCGAATATTATAAGCTTTGGGGGACAGTGCCGTCCATTAATGACGAACCATTTTATTTGCTTAGCTAGATTAGTCGTGGAAAACTAATGGGGCAGGCAGCCAGGGAAGGGAATCCAGATTTCAGCAGTCTGAGCTGCTTTGCTGATTGCTTTTTGGCCATAGGTTCTCTCAAATGGGGTTGGTTTTGTTTGGTGGTTCGTGGTTCAACCACATTCGATGACTTAATGCCCGCCGCATACAACAGAAACTAAGGAGCGGCCGGTTTTCACATTCTACTACCTTTATTTTGTTGGCTGGGGTAAGTTTCAGCCCCAATAGATAAGTTTAGTTTTGGCCAGCTGAAAAGTTAGTGTGAAAGCGAACACCCATTGAGAGACAAACTGTTATATATGTACGTATGTATTGTACGTTTGTATGCAAAATCAGTTAACTATATCGACTCTTGGTCGGAGAGAAAGAGAGAGAGAGAGAGAGGGGGAATGCGTGTGTTACTCAATTTGTTTGCCTGACATTGTGGGCTTTAACAGGTTTTACTGTCTGTCATCTGTCCACTAGTCATCGTTTTCTGATGTGATGCAGTCAGACTTCCTCAAAGAGCGCCAGAGCAGGGGGAATACGTTGTATTATTGGATTGGCAGTGGGGGTCACTCTCGGGCCAGCGTTAAGGTAAACATTGGTTTTATTTTTGGGGCTTCTGCTCTGCTCGTTGGCGGCTGTTCGGCTGCTAGGCTGCTATGGGAATATATATCATAATTTTTGATGGATTCGGCAGGCGGGAAATGAGATTTTATAGCAGTCCAAAGCAAAGGCAGCCCAGCCGCATATATGCGACGGCGATTCTATTCACATGCAAAACGATCAAATAAACATCAATTAAACTGTATCTATTCTTTGGGCTGATTTAATTTTAGCTCAATTAAAAGAGAGACTGAACCGAACGAACGAACGAATCGGGCGCAGGCCATGACTTTCATTACAAGTCTGTCTGTCCGTCGGTTGGTTCTTTTGATTATCCACTAATCTGGCTAATCACAGAATGTCAATTGTTTGTGGTTCCGGTAGCTAAAAGACCTTCGCCCACCGCGATACCATATTAATTGCTCTCCCTTTCGGGCATCCTCTGCTTCCTTATCCTTGCAGGTTAATAGATTTGTGCACCGACGAACATGATTACGATGAAGTTCAGGAGCTGCCAGAAGAGTCAAGCATTCAGCAGCAGCAGCAGCAGCCCTTGGAGTCATCATCAATCGCCACAACGAGTAGCACGACGAACGGTGGTAGCAGCAGCGCGGGAACGGGAACTGGAACTGGCACTGGAACAGTTGTGCCATCTGTGGTTGCGTCAACGCCAGCAACAGCAGTTGTTGTTGCCGTGGATTCAGTGCCAGAGCTGCCTTCGCCCAAACAGAAATCTGTGAAGAATTCGAAAAACAAACAGAAGCAAAAGCAGTTGGCGAACAAATCGAAAATACCCCGATCCCCATCGTTGGCTAGCAGCCTGAGCAGTCTGGCCAGCAGTTTTAGTAGCCACAGAGACAAGGATAAAGATAAGGACAAGGAGAAGGATAAGGATAAGGATAGGGATAGGGATAGGGAGAGTCAGAGCAGTTCCGTGCCACCACAGACCCCGCCATTGCCAGCCGGCTACCAGCAGGCGAACAAACAGAGCCAAATGAATGGTGAAGCCACTGCTGGTGGCACAGCACCAGCCACCCCCACAGCCCACCACAACAATAACAATAATGTAGCCGGGGATAATCCTCTGCTTGGGCCTGCAGATCGCAGTAGCCTCAACCTGACAACACCCCTAGGGGGCAACCATCCCCAGACACCGATAGCGGGCGAGGGAACAACGCCAGCGACGACGCCAACGACGCCAAGTTTAGCATTACCAAAAAATTTTCAGTATTTAACCCTGACAGTGCGTAAGGACGAGAACGGATATGGGATGAAGGTGAGTGTGGGCATCAGTAGCCTTTATTGTGCTCCAGGATAACATCTTTCCCTCGTTGCGTCTATCCTCCAGGTTTCCGGCGACAATCCAGTGTTCGTGGAGAGCGTTAAGCCTGACGGGGCAGCCCAGGTTGCTGGTCTCGTCGCTGGCGATATGATACTGAAGGTCTGTCGTCTCTTCGAGCGTTTCTACCCAGTATTCGACGGGGTATTCTCATGTTTCTGGTCTCCACTTTCAGGTGAACGGACAGGAAGTGCGCCTCGAGAAGCATCCCACGGTCGTGAGTCTGATAAAAGGTTTGTAAATGCCCAGTGGAATATTTGGCTAGTCGGTATCAAAAGGGTGCGGGGCAGAGCAGATTGCGCACTTTTTCTTGGGTTTTGGATCGCAATGCTGATTGGGATTGGGGGGGCTTTCGGCTGACGGGACTGCCGGGCACTTGGGCTTCTTGTCTGCCCAGCCCTCTTCCTGTCGTTTCCTGCACTTGGGGCAATCGCACTGCGGCTTCTTGGGCATTCGCGGCTTGTAGATGAAATCATCCTTGAATCGCTCCTTGCACGGAACCTTTCTCTTGGGACATTCCTTGTCATTGCAGAACGATGATTGTGTCCCGTCGTTGGGCACCAGACCCGGATCCGTCGGCTGGCCACACTTGCACTTCGATTCGGCGCCGGGTTTAATCGGCTGCACCAGCGGCCTTTCGTCGATATGTTTCTTGGTTGTAACTTCGTTCTTCGATCTCTTGGACATGAAGTCGCTGTAGAACTTGCGAATGCGCGCGACCAAGGAGCTCAACATCCCAGGCACCTGCTCCAGCCAATGCTGCAGAAACGAGGGCACGGCGCTGATAACTTCGAAGAAGGCAATCACCACCTGGTTGTAGTAGTGTACACCAGAGAACCTCCAGCTGCCGTCGGGCGGTGGACGTGGCGCACATATTTTCAGCTGGCGACGTGCCTGCTCCGCATACGGTTCGATCTTCTCCGCGGTTCTATTGTACAGCTCCTCCGTTTCATCCGACGGGCCCCATACACCGAAGTGTTTGGTGGCCACAACCACAGCATAAACCACGCCTGCCCGCACAATCAAGTCGATTATCATCCTGTGCCAAAAATGTTCGGAATTGCTATTTAATTGAGAATTTGGATATAGATGAAGTTTAAAGGTCGGGAATCTAGACAGGCACACGTTTGCCGCATGTGATGTCGTCTTTGATCTTGGGCGATCGGATTGGCTTGCTCTCCTCGGGGGGGGAATGCAGTTGTTCCTCATAGAAGCATCCCCGCAGCTTTTTCTGGGAGCCCGAAGCGTTGTTCGGCTTCTCCTTTGGCAGGTCCACGTGATGTTTCAGTGTTGTGGCCAGAATGTCGTGGGTTTGCTTCTTAAATTCGGAGGCCCAGTCGGGCATACGGAGAGCGAAGTACATTCCCCGCTGAATGGCCAAGTTGCACTTGTAGTGGGCCACAAACTTCCCCTCGGCTTCCGGTGACGGTGCGAGGGCCTCTGCATCGAATGATCCCTGGTCCATGGCATACACGACATGGAACAGTCCTTTGGCGGCTGTCAACAGTCCACGCACCCCAGTTATTATTTGAGAGGCCATGATAATGATAATTTTGGTAAACTTTTGCTTGTTTCTGCTTGATTTCTGTATACTTATTGTCACGGGTGGGCCGTTGCCTACTTATCATCTCCTTTAAACAACCGACATATGCTGTTCCCGAAGTCGCGCGCAACTCCGCTCCAGAAGGCGGGGATCTTCTTGAGAGTCCTCACCGTATCGCTCCAGGCATCCGCGATGCTCTGCGAAAATGGTTTCGGTGGTGGAGGCTCACAGATGCCGCCTTTGGTGCAATACTTTCGCTTAAAGTCGTCCGTCTTGCGCTGTAGATCGCGTTTGTCATCCTCATCGAAGAGGATGTTCTTGCTGGCATCCTTCGCCACCTCCTCGGGAGCGGAATCTCGTTCCTCCCGCTGGCAGTCGGCCAATGCAGGAGCAACGTCCCTCTCGCCCAATCCATTGAGGAATAATACGGTTCCGGCGAAACCCATTACCTTTAAAATTTTGACCACAAACATGCTTAATTTTGAGTGCGGGATTACCCGGGAAATTCTTTCCATTGTGGGTAATCTTGTCCCAGAAAAAAACCAATGGAATTTAGGAGGTTTTCGCTTTATTTGGACAAGTAATTCAAAGCTCCTTTCCCCCGTACCTTTTGCAGCCTCTACCATTGTGGAGTTGGCCGTGAAGCGCCAGAAGATGACACGTCCAGCGTCCGTTGGTGTGGTGACCACGCCCATGACACCGATTCTGTCGGGAAGGGATCGAACCGCATCCATTACAGGGCCCCAGCCGGTCGACGTAAGAGCATGTGATTCCGAATACGATTGAATACTAAATCGATTTGTGTTGATTGGTTTTCAGAGCATCAAGCGTCGTGAGATGGAATCGTACAAGATTCAGACGTTGCAGAAAATGCTGGAGCAGGAGAAGCTGAATCTGGAGCGACTGAAGAGCGATCAGAACAATCCCAGCTACAAGTTGTCGGAGGCGAATATCCGTAAGCTGCGAGAGCAGCTCCATCAAGTGGGAGCCGAGGTGAGTGCTGCCATGGACCAGCAGCAGCCGTCTGTCCGTCTGTTTTTCCCCTTCCCGGATATTAGGCGCAGTAGCAGGAAATTTTGAATTAACGAAGCTAATCTCCAGCAAAAATCCTAACCAACCTGCCACCTGCAGCCATTCGTGGCGAAGCGCTCACGCTAAGCAATAGTAGAACATGATTTGGTATGAGATTTGTGGAGAAATTAACGCGAGAACCGAAGCAGCTTCGGATGATATGGATGATTGCTACATGATCTCTCTTTCTTCTCTTCCATTTCGTGCTGTCTTAACGAACCCTAACTGCAGGATGCACCAACAATTAAACTCCAAGCAGCCGCGAGCAACAAGAACACCGCATTACTAACGCCCAATCAAATCCAACACTTGTCTACGTCCGCCACTCACAACAATCCGCATCAGCATCAGCAATTCCATCATCTCCACAGCCACAGCCACAACAACTATCAGCAGCAACAGCCACTGCCACCGCAGCCCCTAGCACACCACTCCTCACCCGCATTCCTATCCCTCCTGCCGCGTTCTCTCTCGTCCCTGTCGCTGGGCACACGCAAGAATCGGATCGAGAAGGACTTTGTTGCCTCCTCGCCGTTCAACAACACGGCGGACTTCCTGCAGCACCAGCGGATGCAGCACCAGGCCGAGGCCATGTCCCAGTCTTTGCACCAGCACACATCCACACCTACCATGCAGCAGCAGCAGCAGCAACCGTTCTTCCATCCGCACCTCCAACAGCTACAACAGCAGCAGCAGCAGCAGCATCGGTTCAAGGAGACTCCCAAGTCAGCCGCCGGTTCGAAGAGCAAGAATAAGTTCCAAATATCCAAGAGCCTGATCGAGGAGGATGTGCCGCCACCGCTGCCGCAGCGGAACCCTCCCAGGCAGCTGAATCTCGACCTGAAGAACGGCAACGCATCACCACAGAGCGGGCATTTGATGGCGCCCGTCTCCGACCTGGACAGAGCCACCAGTCCACAGCTGAACAGATCGCAATTGGGCGTCAGCGGCAGCGGCAGCAACAGCAACGACAACAGTCCCAGCAGCAATGCCAGCAAGTCCAAGCGATCGAAGGTCAAGACCAAGGCACTGTCCGATCCAAAGATGTCCACGCAAATGTTTCTGCAAATGGAATCGGCGTGTGCCCCTGGAGGAGCCCCCGGTAGTTCACTCGAAGTGGACGGTGGGCCGCCACCATTGCCCCCGCGTCTGCCGGGCATGATGTCGGAGGATATGAGTCGTGGCAGCTGCCAGAATCTGGCCCAGCCCAACTCCCTGAACACGATGTTCAACTATCCCCTGGTTTCCACGTGCACAGCCGTGCAGAGCGACAACCTGAAGGCGGCCTTTCCGCTCTCCCAGCGGCCGAACATTGTCCAGCAGTTGCAGCAGCATCAGCAGCAGTTAAGCAGTGGCCAGGCCACAGCCGTAAGTAGCCAGCCAATCGATCGATCGATCCATCACTCTGAAAGCACTCGTAACTTTTAATCCTTCACTGCCTCCTTTTTCCATCTCTCTAACATTTTATTGTATCTCATTCGCTTTTACATAACAAATGAAGGTCTGGTTGCTGGCCAGGCCTGAAGCTTCATCCCAGTCTAACATTAACATAAAAAGAAACAGAAACATAAACATTGACACTAACATTAACTTTACTTTGCTTCTGTGCTAGCCTGCCACTAACCGCAACCGCAACACACTCTTTCGAGCACACACTACAGATATACTGATACTATACTCGTATGTATGTGCGGAAATTCGAAATTATCTTATCATTTATGTGGGCTTCTTTGTATCTGAGACTTAGACTTTTGAAAGAGTAACAAAATGCAGGAGTTATATGTACTCGCATATGCCTAGACGTATTCTTGTGCCACAATTTGGGTATGAGAAATGTATAGAACATGGACAGCATAGCATCATCTTATATTTTGTTCATCTTCCAAACACAATTTATCCCCCTCCCACCGACAGGCCCTGGGACAGACACCCAATTTGGGCAAGAAGAAACACCGACGCGTTGGCTCCTCACCGGACAATATGCATCCACGACATCCAGGTGAGAATCCTTCGATAATCGATGCTTGGAAGAAGCTCTAACTGATATTTAAACAATCTGTAGATCGTCTGACGAAAACCACTTCCGGTTCGTGGGAGATTGTGGAGAAGGATGGGGAAGTGACGCCGCCAGGAACACCGCCGCCACCATATCTGACCAGCTCTCACATGACGGTGCCCGAGGACCCGAACGAACAGTGCATGGGGGCCGCCGGAGCTGGAATCTTCATTGAATCGCATCACTATACGCCAATGGGAGGTACTCCGTCGCCGATACCGACGTCTCTACATTCCAGCCATTCCATACAGGCGGCACAGTCGAACGACACGCAGAAGGAGATCATCTCAATGGAGGACGAGAACTCGTCCGATCAGGAGGGGCCCTTCATCGACGAAAACGGGCCGTTCAACAATCTCACACGCCTGCTCGAGGCGGAGAATGTCACCTTCTTGGCGGTGTTCCTCAACTACGTACTCTCGAACTCGGAGCCGGCGCCACTGCTGTTCTACCTGATCACAGAACTCTACAAGGAGGGCACTTCGAAGGATATGCGCAAGTGGGCGTACGAGATACACTCGACATTCCTTGTGCCGCGCGCCCCGCTCTCGTGGTATCGCCAGGACGAGTCGCTGGCCAGGGAAGTGGACAATGTACTGCAGCTGGAGTTCGACAAGGTAGAGATCCTGCGAACCGTCTTCCTGCGAAGCCGTAAGCGCGCGAAAGATCTCATCAGCGAGCAGCTGCGAGAGTTCCAGCAGAAGCGTACCGCCGGCCTGGGCACCATCTACGGTCCGACGGATGAGAAGCTGGCCGAAGCGAAGACGGACAAGCAGCGAGAGCAAATCATCGACAAGTATTTAATGCCCAATCTTCAATTGCTAACGTGAGTTGCCATCCATCTCCTTGCAGGATTATTCATTTTTAATTTATGTGTTGCAGCGAGGACTTTGAGAAGGATTCACCGACAGAGGATGTGCGCAAACAGGCCCTGTGCTCGGCCCTCTCAACGGTGATCTATCGCATCTTCAATACGCGTCCCCATCCCAACAGTATTGTGGAACGTGTGCACCACTTTGTCAGCAGAGACAAGAGCTTCAAGTCACGTATAATGGGTAAAAATCGAAAGGTGAGTGCTTCACTGTCCTCCAATAGGTGCCATGCCTAATATTCCTCCCCTTGTAGATGAATGTTCGTGGTCATGCATTGATATTGCGTCAATACTATGAAGTGACGCACTGCAATCATTGTCAAACGATTATATGGGGCGTTAGCCCCCAAGGCTATCATTGTACAGGTGAGTGGCTCTCAATACTTCGCCCCCATTCCGGACTAATCCGAATACTTGCTGTCCACTTTGTAGACTGTAAACTGAATATACACCGTCAGTGCTCGAAAGTCCTGGACGAGAGCTGTCCCGGCCCACTGCCGCAGGCCAAGCGGATTGCCCATAACGATAAGATTAGTAAATTTATGGGAAAGATTCGACCACGCACCAGCGATGTAGTTGGAAGTAAGTTCAAGCTCTTAAGTCCTCCAATGGGAAACGAACCATATTCATATTTTCTGTTTATTTCCATTACTTCAGATGAAAAACGCAGCCGGCAAGATGAGGACTTGGACGTTGATATGACTCCAGGTAAGTGTCTAGTCTTTAGCCAATTACCTCTCCTAATCCCCAACTCTCTTTTTCTGTGATTTTAGAGCGCGGACAGTCCTCGATTGTGCGCCAACCATCGGATCGTCGACCGGATGCGAATATATCAATGCGTTCGAATGGGAATGCATCCTGCAACACCTCTGCGCTGAACAGCACTGACCTGCAAAGTTCGTTTCATGGCAGCAGCGCCAACGACAGTATTAACCCAAGTGGCGGCGCCATTTGCCCCATGGAACTGTCAACGAGTGTGGCGTCAACGGCCCCATCGAGCAGTGGTTCAGTCTCTGCCGGTCTGAGCGCTTTTGCCGAGCTGAATGCACCGGATACGGTGGAT